TATATATGTATATGTATATGTATATGTATATGTATATATATATATATATATATATATATATATATGTATTTTTAAATGGCTTTCATTTATTTCAATTTCAGATTTAGTTTTTGTCATTTTAGTACCTAAACTTAAACATATCTATTTCAGTTTTTTTTTAAGTTTAAGTTTTTCTTTATAATTCTATTTTATTTTATTTCAATTACCAAAAACGGTATCCAATTTTTAAGTTTTAGTTAACTACAACAACACTGAATTACACCTAAAATCTTTTTTCTTTCCCCAATGACAGCATTTTAAATCTCCATTTTAATAAGGCGACGCTCTCTCGTGCAGATTTTGACAGTGAGGAAACTCAACAGTTTTAAAATGGTTCGATAAAAGGCTGTTGTTTTACTAGGTCACTGCAACCACACACACGTCAGTGCATAAAGATGATTTGCGCATGGTTTATTTCTCTCCGTTTTTTGATTGGTTTTCCTTTCTTTACTAGTCAGGATGCTTAGCTTGGTTTAGACCTCCTGAAATGCTTCACTTATTTAACCCTTTTAGTTTTTATGACCTATGCAATCGAAACTTTGAGACAGTGAACTTCTGAACTGAATGTGATTCTGTTTCATATAGTTTTTTTTGTCCTGTACGCTCTTTGCGTTCTCATGTACAGATGTAAATATCATTGGAGATCTGACAAGCCTTTTGGACCAGAGAGCTTATGTAAATCTGTTTATGTAAATGTTGAATTCAGTCCTACTTTAAAACCACAGCTGGAAGATCCGTAGAATTTCTAATGTGTTGTATGATCTCTTGTCAAAGTGACTATCATCTGATGTTCAATAAATGGTGTACAGTGAACTTTGGTAAATGTGGATTCACAGACGTATGTGCATTTCTTTAGTAATAAACCAAGCAATTGAAATGTTCACACTGCTCTTTTCCATAAAGTGAAAGTTTGCATTGATCTCTCAGTCTCTCAAGAGGACTAAATGCACCATATAAGCATCATAAAAGTAGTTCTGTTTTCAGCCAAGTGCTACATCTTATGTCTTCTGAAATCGTATAGATTTGTGTGATGAAGAGACTGAAATGCAAATCATTAACTGAAAATGTTTGCCTCTGAAATATCATTCACGTTTGTGCATATTCATAATTGGCACAAATCTGATTAATTGAATATGAGCTTGAATATGTGCAAGAGCTTGAATATGTGCAAGTAGCAATAAGCAGGGTTATTATGGTTAACTAAAGCCATAAAAAAAAACTTGAAATAAATAACTGAAATAAAATTAAATAACAAAAACCTTAAACTTATTTTATTTCAGCTAGTTGCCAATGCAACATTTATCATTTTCATTTAGTTTAACTTGATGTGTAAAATAACTAAAAACTGAAATTAAAATAAAGATATAGACAAAAACAATTAATAAAAATTACAAAAACTAAATTACTAAAACATTAAATAAAATATAGATAAAAAAATATTTCTCAAATTAAACTAATTTTTAAATTAAATTAATCTGCTTTAAATCTCAGAAATGTCTTGCTCAATAGACGTCCATAGTGAATGTATAACAGATTTAATTTTTTAATGATTTTGTATACAATCTAAAGCACAAGTTTTTTTTTTTTTTAATTCATTGAAAGATTTAAAGGGGTCATATGATACGATTTCAATTTTTCCTTTCTCTTTGAAGTGATACAAGCTCTTGGTGCATAAAGAAGATCTGTAAAGTTGCAAAGACTAAAGTCTCAAATCCAAAGAGATACTCTTTATAAACGTTAAGAGTCAGCCACGCCTACCTAAAACTTGTATGGTGTATGAAAAATATGAATATATATTATAGATTTAAAAAAAGTTTTATAAAATACTTTATATGGACATTTGAACCATAAATGTCGTCATAATCAACTATTACTGCACCTTTAAAAGTAGCTTCTTAAATACATAAATACACTATTTTGTTCATAATTGTTTATGCAATTTACGAAATTATATTTGAAAAATATGAATATATATTATAGATTTACAAAAGTTTTATAAAATACTTTATATGGACATTTGAAACATAAATGTCGTCATAATCAACTATTACTGCACCTTTAAAAGTAGCGAATTACAATGGGCTTATTCCTCTTCATTACTTCATAGTTTGAAGTAAAACTCTTTTAGTATCAGTGATATACTGTTAGTTGTTCGTAATATTTTCTGTTTTCATTTTAATTTTAGTTACAGTTTGAGTAATTTTGTTGTGTTTTTGTTTATTAGGCTACCTTTTTAATATGTAGGCTAGTTTTTAGTTTACCTAAACTAAATGAGACGTATCAAACACGAAAAACAAGTGAAATGAAAGGGAAAAAAATTAAAGAAATTATGGTTTTAGTTAATGATAACGCTATAGAGTTTTTTTAAATAAGTTGCTTATGCTCACTGAGGCTGCATTTATTTGATATGCAGTAAACTACAGTATTAATATTGTGAAATATTATTACAATTTCAAATAACTTTTTCTGTTTGAATATATTTTAAAATGCATTTTTTTCCTGTGATGACAAAGCTGAACATTCAGCATCATTACCCCTGTCTTCAATGCCGTATGATCCTTCAGAAATTATTATAATATACCGATTTGGCACTCAAGAAACATTTCATATTATTATCAACAGTTCGGCTGCTTAATGTTTTTATGGAAACATTGATTATTTTAACTTGAAATCTTTCAGAACCCTATAAATGTCTTTATTGTCACTTTTGATCAATTTAATGCATTCTTGCTGAATAAAAGTATTAATTTTTTTGTTTAAAAAAAAAAATCTTAATGACCTCGAACTTTGAATGGTAAATGGACAAATATTTAAGTACTCTAAAAAAAATAAGACAATTAAACAATTACAACATGATAAAACTATTTTAAAATGGTATATATTTAAAGCTATTAATACAAACGTTTACTTTTATATAAAAAATAGTATTTTTGTGTGGAGAAATAAATTCAACTAGAGAGACAATGACAAATTACATTTAAAAAAAAAAGAGACAAACAAAAAATGGAGGACACGTGTTTTATAAATATAAAAATATTTTTCCGTTGTATTCTCTGTACAGAAAATCTGTAAATTTCACATACAGTAATCATTAAAACATTGACCTTTTTGTATTACAGTTTGTGCATGCTGCATGTACAGTTCCGTTAACTTAAAAGTCTTTATTAGATCAAAATAAGCAAAAGTGCATTTCTATGGAAGACTAGGTGTTTCACTTAAATAAATTAATGATTAATTTATACACTGAAAAATAAAAATATAAATAAACTGCATCTCAACTTACCAAAAAAAAATAATGTTTTAAAATGGAGCTAAATAAACTATTTAAATGTTAAAACAGAATTTTAAAGGGATAGTTCACCCAAAAATGAAAATTTGATGTTTAAGCAGATAAACATCAAATTTTCATTTTTGGGTGAACTATCCCTTTAAGTATTTGCCAATTGCTTTTGTCAATCAAGTTAAAAACGGTTGATTACACAGAAATAACCACTAAACATGACACTCCTAGTCCTCTATACATGATGGATTCTTCTTCATTCACAGCAGCTGCATCTCCACAGGACTAGACGCCTTCACTGCTAGTTGCTGAACTGCTCAAGTGCTTTCTTGACTAGATCCCAGGTGATGGCATTATGAACCACCACACAGTGAACACCTAAAAGAGCAGGAATCAGCTGCTGATTCAACCGAACAAACAGTCTGCAACTTTCACCGTACAGTTCCAGATCTCTGAAGCAGCTATAAAGGTTTGCTGAGGAGAGTAAGCAGAAACTTACCCAGCCTGCAAACCTCCACGATGTTCCTATCCTCATCATCAAAGAACATCATGTCAGAAAGCTGGGCGCCACTGTCAGCTTTCAGCCTGGAGACAGAACAATAGTCAGACAGACTGAGGTACTGTGAGCGAGATGCCGCATGCAAAGACAGACGCACACACTATTATGCCACTTTGATTTAGAACAGAATTGTGAAATGAAACCACTGGTTACAGTATGGAATGATTAAGATATATATTTTTGTTATGTTTATGAAAGTTTTTTTGTACTCCCAGGTGCATTTATTTGATCAAAAGCTCAGTAAAACCAGCAACATTGTGAAATATTATTACAATTTAAAATAACTGTGTTCTATTTGTAAAATGTAATTTATTCCTGTGATGCGAAGCTGAATTGTCAGCATCATTACTCCAGTTTTCAGTGTCACATGATGCTTCAGAAATCATTCTAATATGCTGCTCTACAAACATTTAGTATTATTATTATCAACAGTTTGGGTGCTTAATATTTTTATGGAAACTTTTTTTTAGGATTTATTGATGAATAGAAAGTTCTATTTCGAGTTTTAAATATAAATATTTTGTAGTTAAATGTCTTTACTGACACTTTTGATCAATTTAAAGTGTTCTTGTAGAACGTTTCTTTTTAATCTTGTGCAAAAAAAGGAAAAACTGTTTTCAAAATTGACTAATACATTTTTTTTTTATATAAAAAAAATAATAATTATTCCAAACTTTTGACTGGTAATGTATATATTATAATTACATTTGTACATATTCTAAAGAAACTGAATGATGCTAGAATGTTATGGTGGTTGCCAAGGCATTGCTATAGAGTTACTTAAATGTTAAACTTAAATGTTTTAGTATTGCTTTGTGGTTGCTAGGGTGTGCCGCTGGTGGTTACTAGGGGGTTTACCGATTACCAGCCAAATTCAAAAGGCCTTTCTGTACCTTTTAAAATGAGTGACCTTTGAACCGGGGTAGATGTCCTTGAAGGAAATGTATTGGTCAAGTTTATAGAGTGACAACAGCTGATTGGCTCCTTCAGTCTCGCTGGTTCTTTGAGAAACAGAAAAAGAATACAGCTATATATATATATATATATATATATATATATGTATGTATATATAATTTAGAAAATCATCTAGTCAATGTGTGCTCATTTGATCATTTGCAAATTTAAACCCAAGAGAGAACAAAAATATATAACTGTAATTCATATATATTGGGGCGTCACTATTTACAGGTATTGACGATAATCGTGATATTTAAAAAAATGAAATATTGTTATCGTGTTGATTTAGGGGTGCTGCTATATATCGGTATGTGCAATAACTGATATTTAAAAATGAACCGTGGACGTAAATTAACATGACACATAAATAATCCAGTGCCAGTAACCAGAGATGATTTTATAATTGGGAGATACCATTACCAGGGCCAG